TCCTCTCGAGTAATTGGGTTTTGTTTCCCTTTGTCCTTCTAAGTAATCATTAATAAACTCTTTTGCTTTGAGAAAGCCCTGTCTGGTTTGCCCGGGACCATGGTTGGTGGGTGCTCCCTCTGTTCTTGTCTCAACCCTCAGTCCCTTTGGTTTTTTTTTCCTCTCCTCTCTACTTTACTGGAGAAGGAGAGACTGTGTGAGTTTTAGTTGCTGGATCAGCCTAAAACCACGACAATCATAAAGATTAAATGATCTTAAATTTAATCAGCTATTGTCCACATTAGAATATCCTTTCTGTATAAGGTAAATAAAAGAATATACTAAATATAATATAAAGTTACTTTGTTCTGTATAAGATGCAGAAAAACCTATTAGTTGGTCCATAACCAAGCTGAACACCCGAGCTCTTTTCCCACTTCTGAATTTTCTTATTTCTGCTAATATTATTTCCTTCATAGGAAGCTCATTTTCAGCTAAGTAGAATATATGCTGCTTAATGATTGTTACTCATCCCTAAGCTATTACTTTTCTTGTTATTTTACCCTGTTTCTTAAGGTGGTCTTACACTCAATCTCATATTATCATATAAAATGCTATGTAATGCATTCATACTTCCAGGACCATTGCTCCAGGGAAATTTATTTTGGGATTTAGTGATTTATACAAAGAGGCTTTGGAACCAAGTTTCCTCCTCTACTCAGAGTAGTCCACTGTGATTGTTAGCATACAGAAATGTAAAGGATTCTCATACTTTTGTCTGCCAGAATCTGTTGTTGTGCTGACACTTCAGAGGATAAATTGATGTTTATTTCTAACAGTCGTCATGATGATTTCCCAGGCTCCAGCTTCTACTTTGCAGGCGATTGGTTCTAGCAAGGAAGCTAATAGTCAGGGATCCCTTCAGAGAAGAGGTAAGGGTTATCTGTCCTAGGCAAGAAAGAAATCAGCCTTTTTGAAGAGGGAGAGTTCAGAACTTTAGTGCAGATGTGCCAAGAGACATGCTCTGACACCTGCTAGAAAAGTATATGATGCTACAGAGAATTGCCCAGGCAACTGCTTTCTTATCATTCATGAGAGACAATGATTTGCCCACGAGATCAGACTAAGATACTTGAAACAGTGTCTTGTAGGTTGAAAAACCTTGAATTTGGGCTCTCACACTGATCAGGGATTGAGGCTGGGTAATGACTGGGATGGTTGTATGAGAGTGGAAAGGGAAAATCTTTTCAATTTCTGATATCTAGCTGACTCTGCTCACTTTCCTGTTGCTACAGTTAGAATAGAAATAAGGAAGTTTTTTTAAACAATCTTTAGGTGCGTTCCCCTATTTTCAGCTGTAATCCCTTATTCAGGGATTACTCTGGTCTTTAATTTAGGATTTATATTGATGTTCCTCTGCTTTCCAGATAACTGGTGGTCTCAAGTGTGCCCAAGATATTTCCTCAGGCTAGTGGACCTCTATAAAGGCGCAGTGGTTTACCTCCTCAGTGGAAGAAAAACACTGTTGATCCCAGTCCTGTTCAGTAGCTACATTACAGCTGCTCTCAGACTTCTGGAGAAACTTCACAAGGTAAGAGGAAAGCCTGGGTGGGTGTTGGTTTAAGATGATTCAGTCTTGTCTACCCTTTGCCAATTGACAGGGGCAGAGTGGTCATGGCCCTGGCTTGTGAGCTGTGTCATTGTCCACCAGACACTGCATGGGCAGGATGTCAGTGGTTTTCCTGAAGTCAAGATACTCAAAGATTGTTTAGTCCTGTCTCAAACACTAGGAAAAAATTGCGCTAAAGAATGCTGCTGCTGAGCCACCAGGCTCGGTACGCTGTGGCATCACAAATACCTGTCCTTTGCTGCTCTCTGCTCCCGCTGTGTTGATGCTAGTAGTCCAGGTGGGGTAGAGAGGGACTAAAGTCAGAAAGAAGTTGATCTCAATTATTCTTGGTTCATACTAAAATATAAGGGACCATGTGCTTTTGCAAGACTTTCTGGGTCCTGTTGTTGCAAGCTGCTATAATTGATTTTATGAAAGCAAACCTGTGTGTTCTAAGAAAAATGCTGAATATATACCCATTTAAAAAAACATCTTTTTTCTTCACTAGGTAAATCAGAAGGTTAAACATGTAGAATATGATAAGTTTTATATTCCTGAGATTTCCAGCTTGGTGGACATTCAGGAGGATTATCTCATGTGGTTCTTACATCAGGCTGGAATGGTAAGAGGTTTTATGTATAGTCATGAAATAGCTGTCCATGTTTGTCTCTCTGGTTGTAGATCTGTATTTTTAATATCCTTAATGAGTGTAATGTATTCAGTATAGGAGCAGCTATACATTCAGTCTCTGATTTGGGTGCTCAGTGGCTCGACTTAGTTGACTTGGAAGAGCTGGAGCTAACAATATTTAACTAACACTTGTGACTATCTCTCTGATAATTCATGTGAATTTCATTCAATCCTTGCACAAGGGATTTAGTTCAGTCACTGGATCCTTTTAATGTAATCGAGACCTCAGGAGCCAAATCCTGTATTCTAAAATTATAATTTTTACCCTTTACTTCTGCTGTTTAGGCAGGTATTGTGAATAATGTAGCCAGTGATCTTAAAATCTTGCTCTGTAAGAGGAGGCAGTGTGACGTTCTGGCTAGGGGACTGAACCAAGACTCAAGAGATGTGGGTTCTATTCCTGGCTCTTCCAGTAACCTGCTGGGTGATCTTGGGTAAGACCCTTCAGCTCTTTTATGCCTCACCTTCTGATCTGTAAGAAAGGAAATAACTAAACTGAGGGCCGTATATGCTGTGTAGGAACTCAGTGAGATTGTTTAATTATAGTAAGGAAAGGAATCCCCAGTGTGATAAAACACTAAATAACGTCTGCCAAGGGATGCTTGCAAGAGTAGAACATGACTGTAGCAAGAACTTTTGTGTGTGTTTTCATGGGCTTTCTAAATGTTGTGTGCTGTGTCCCCTGTCCCCTATGTTCCATCACTTAAATAGTGCTACTCTGTACTTACTTTTAGTGAGCAGAACAATAAAATACTGACTCAAATTTCTGTAACAGTGGTAGTTTAAAATAGTTTAAAACGTATCAGTATGGCTAGTGAGAGGAGTAATTTGCATTGCAGGTGTTGTCTTACATAGTCATGTTGTGGCCGTATGGTCTCTTCTTTCATATGGTCTCTGCCTTTCGAGGTAGTTTTCTTCTTTTTCTTCATAGAGTAATTTTCACCTGTGGCAGGCTAACACAGGCTTCTGTGCCAGTTAGTCCTCTTAGTAATGTTTGATGTTCAAGTTTTGAATTAGACTTGTGCATTTTCTAGACAAGGAAGTTCCCATGCTTTTCTTCAAAAGGAAAAATCTGGGTTGTTGGTCCCAGAGGAGAAAAATTTTCTTTGGATCATCTTTGAACTAGTCCGTCCAAAAAAATAAAAGACATAAAATCAAAAGAGTAAAAGATTTTCATATTTCTCTTTTTCCTTCACAGAAAGTAAGACCATCTATCATGCAGGTAAGAAAATAGTTTTTCATGACTCTTATTTAAGGAAGTGCGATGGAAGCTGTAGATAGAAACCAATCTGCCTGCCTTTCTTGCAGGATGCTGTGACACTCTGTTCTTATCCTTTCATCTTTGATGCTCAAGCTAAGACCAAGATGTTGCAGACAGATGCAGAACTACAGATGCAGGTAATCCTTCTCTCTCCTGATTTTCCTGCCCCATTTCTTTTTGTCTGCCTTTTGTACTGGTGCCTGCAAGGAAAGGTGTTCACTGTGAGTTAGTGTGTGCAGCACTTCATTGTTTCCATGATACAGGAGAGCAGAGTAGCTGGGGAACTTCTTTTCCCTGGTTATTGCAGAGGCAGAGCTTGTCTTTTGCTTCAAAATGTTTGGTAATATCAGAACTGCCAGATGTGCATGTGATGCAAATTTGAACTATATAGGAAAGGAGTACTTATGTATTTATGATAGTCCAAGGATAAGTAAGGCGAGGTCCCTGTTAGAGGAGCTGTAAGGCATGAAAAGTAGACAAGCTTTGAGTGGTTGTCAGAAGCAAGCATTGAGGACCAACTCCTGACACTGTTCCTGGTTGCAGCAGCTCACCCACCCATTTGCAGTGAGCGGTGCAGACCTGAAGCTCTCTAGGAGCATGTTCCCTGCGGGCGTTCGGCTCCAGCACCCTTACCCTGTAGATGGCAGCCAAGGCAGCTCACAGCCAGGCTGTGACAAGGACAGCTGACCTCTGTGCCAGTATAAACCTCCCAGTGCCAGGCTTCACTCATGCAGGTGACTCCTGAGAGGGTCAAATCATTGGGCAGTGATCCCTCATCCAGTGCAGCTGGGGTCTGGGACTAGTCCCGTCCTCTGCCAAACGAGTTTGAGGTCCTTGGTTGTCAGGTTTCTTCAGGGTGGAAAACTGTCATCACAGTTACTCGTGGCCATGGTGCTGGTTCCATGTAATATCCCCCTCTCAGCTTTTCTATGGCCGCTTGAACACATAGCCTGCAGAAAGGCAGAGGAGGCTCGGCCTTCACTCAGAAGGTGGAGTCACCTTCTCCTGCTTTCATTTTGTCAACCTCTTGCATGTATCTTCAGCTGCCCAGTCTGTGAGCAGTGTGCTGCTTGAGGAGGGTATCTACCTTATCGTGGCAGGACAGCAAACTGGTAAAGGTTTTGTTGCCCTGAGAGACAGGATCTTTGTGAAGACAACCACTTAGAGACCAAACAACCAGTACTTCTGCGAGTGCTGGAATGGAGGAAGCCTGGTTTCCAATGGATTTCTGCCTCAGGTTTAACTGACTTTTAAACTGAATTTACAAGTGTGAATTTGCCATTTACTATGGACAGTGCACGAGAGTGAATATACTATGTGTGGTCAAAGCTTTGACTGGACTTTGTGCCCTACCCGGCTCCAGAAAATCCCTGTAGATGAGAGCTTTGAGTGGTATGTGATGGGTTCCCTGGTGCCTTGCCAGGGGTGGTTGTCAACTGGCTCCTCTCTTGGTGTATCAGTAACACTGCTTTCCCTTGTGGACTCTCTGACTCTTATCAGGGTGTGTTCACACTGAGTTTCTTGACTCAATAAGGCATGAATAAAGCCTCTTTTCCCCACTCACCTGTCTAATGTCAAAAAATGTTCCGGAATTTGATCTCTCTGTTGCTTAAATTTGGTGAATCGATCAGTGAACTTGAAAGGTGTTGGTGTGGGAAATGGGAGGGGGACAGGTAGGCATATAGGCACATGCAGTTGTACAGGGTGAGCACATAATCGTTGAAATCAAACTAAAAGAGTAAGGAAGAAAGGAACTCCGGGCATATAGTTGTTAACTGTTTTCCTTCCATAGGAAGAAAGGAGCTGAACAGCGGCTGGTTTTCACCCCTCTTATTTACAGGTTGCAATAAATGGTGCAAATTTACAGAACGTCTTCATGCTTCTCACCCTGGAGCCTCTGCTGGCCAGAAGCCCTTTCCTGGTACTTCATGTTCGCAGGAGTAACTTAGTTGGTGATGCTTTAAGGGAGTTGAGCATCCATTCAGACATTGATTTGAAAAAACCTCTTAAAGTGAGTATTCCCTGCACCTTTAGCACCCTCTCATCCAGCCAACACTTCTGCAGCCTTTCAGCTGTTCACATTACCACTTCACTGGTGTATAGTGTCTTCTCCATAGGTACAGCACATAGGGATGCTTGATCTAATCAGTGTGAGAGTTGAATCTTTCTCCTCTCTGACTCCTGAAGTGTTTTAGCAGTGGACAGTTTACAAGAAGGAGGTTTACTCTCTTTTCCTTATGTCTGCTGTATAAGGGGCAGGGGAGGAAACAATTCTGTATTATGCAGTCTCTATTTTGCTCTTCTGTGGGAACAGGCCACTTAAAATAGGACATGTTTTGTCTCTGAGCTTGCTGCGAAATTCAGCAGCTGCCGTCATGTTGCTGCTTTGGTTGTTGGGAGGACAGGTGATTATTTATGATTTGCGTAAGGAGTTAAACATTTTCAAAAGATGTGATTTGCCACGCCCTGTTCCCTTTCCCTCCCTGCAAGCAGAGCGCTGAAACATGCTCATGGGTTGCAGTGAGTTTGGGCATGTTAGACAAATTGCTTTGTGTGGCTCCCAGTTAGAAAGAGGTCTGATTCTCACAGTCTCGGCTCTGCATCCCTGTTGCTGACCTGCTTTTTCTACAGGTCATCTTTGATGGTGAGGAAGCAGTTGACGCTGGAGGAGTGACAAAGGAATTTTTCCTCCTGTTGTTAAAAGAACTCCTCAACCCCATCTATGGCATGTTCACTTACTACCCAGAGTCAAACCTGCTGTGGTTTTCAGATACGGTGAGCCCTTGCCTGCTATACACGTAGGTTGAAATAATATGCTGCATTTGAATGACAAGAAAGTTAGTGGCAAACTATGGGAAAGAAATGATCTTCCCCTCATTTTCCACCCACAATATATTGTGAGCTCTATTTTCAGTCAGTGTAAATTAGTATAGGTCCATTAACTTTAGTAGAACGGTGATGATTGTGCCTGTTAAGGAGTTGGCTTTATTTTTATCTTTATTGTTATCCCATAATAAAACTTGTATTAAGTATCAGATGACAGTTAATAGAACTCTTATTATCATAAATGTGATAATCATGTGCTATTTTACTGAACCAGGCTTAGGTCATAATGGCATTAGAATTCTGCGCTTCCCTTGCTGTTCACATAATTGCAACCAATCCACTTAGTCATGCATCACTATCACCTCCAGGGTCTAAATTTGTTAATGCTTTGTGTGAGGAAGCTCTTAAACAGCAAGAAACACAGTTTGTAGTGAAAGTGGGTTGGTTTTGGAAGGGGATGGAGTGCAAGTTCTGTACCCATCAGATAGCAGCATGCTGGAGGTGGTGCTTTATGTCCTTTTCTCTTCACCTTCCTAGGTAACGAGATGGGAAATGTTGCCAGCCTTCCCTTAAGGCATAGCTGCCCTGGTGGGGTTCTTAAATTTATTAATTACACTTTACAAGGAAGGACGTTACATGGTCTTTTGTAACTTGGAAACAGTGTGACAGAGCAATTACTCCTCATGTTAATGCTATAAAAACAACCACTTTTTGACACTAAGAGTAGTGACAGTGTAAGCACTGAAAATGAGTCATGTATTTACAAGATTTAACAAATATAGGCAGCCAGTCTGTGACTGACCACACCAGTGTGAGGGTGAATACGTGAAGGAATGAAGGTCAGTATACCAACACCTCTGTTGGTATATTTGCCTGGGTGGCACTGTGGTTATACATGAGCTTTTAATAGAAAGTAGGACGGGTGAGAGGGAGAGAATTGTTAACACATTTTCTTGCAGTACGTGGCAAATGTGGAAGCTTCGTTAGTGTCTAAATGCAGAGGTATGTAAAAAGGAAATAAAAGGCAGATAAGGTGGAAAACAGCTGTTGCTGTTTCCACAGCTAATCATGACTTACAAAAGTAATAGGGCTTGGGTTTTGAATCTTCATTTCTATGCAACACGCCAGCAAGGAATTCACAACCACACTGGGACCCGATAGGAACTCTCTGATTTTGGCACAGTTGGAAAAGGGGTTGTCTTCTTAGTGCATGGGAGGAAGGGTGCTGTGCATTGCACCAGTGATGGTGTGTCTCATCAGAATTTCTCTGTGGTTTTGCAGTGTTTTGTAGAACACAACTGGTTTCACTTGATTGGCATCATATGCGGTCTTGCAATATACAACTTCACAGTGGTAGACCTTCATTTTCCCTTGGCTCTGTACAAAAAACTCTTGAATGTGAAGCCCTGCCTAGAGGATTTGAAGGAGCTGTCCCCTACGGAAGGAAGGTATGAAAACCAAAGTCTGTAGCCTTTCTGGAAAGAGAGACCATCCAACTGAGAACAAGAAATGCCGAATTGGGTAAAAGCTATTCAGTAAAACAACTCCTGATCCTTTTGAGTGACTGATGGGAGGCTGTGATCCTAGCAAAGTACATAAGCTGATGGTGAATTTCATGTAAGACTTCTCCTCTCTCACAGGCTATCAGATCCATCTGCTTAGGCTCTAGCCTCTGTACCCACCTTCCTGACCCCCAGAAACTGGATATCAACACAGCCAAAAGATACCAACCACACTCCCTTGAAAACAGGGAGTGGAGTCCTGTCCCTCTGCTGTATGATTGCCTGTGTGATCCCAGATCCTAGCCTCAGTCTTTGCCTTTAAGCCAGGCTTGGGTTAGCAAGCAGATCTGCTGCATGTCTCATGACGTAGCCCAGGGTGGGAACTGTCCCATCTCTAAACTGGTATAACTGACCTCCTCCCATGCCAGAAAGAAGGAAGTTGGAGTGAAGGAATAACTTTTTTCTGAATGGCATATTGAATCTTTTCTGCCTAATTGCATGGGGATATTGGTTCTCTCTGACACTTGAGAGGTTAAGATCCCACTGTGTGGCTGTTGTCGTTTTTTATTTCTTCCAAGTTACTGTCTAATTTATCTGCACAAAGTGACAGCTGTGTATAACAATAATGAGGTAAAATGGCAGGAAAACAGCAGCAGGATTTTGAGGGATAGGAGAAAAATATTTTCTATATTATGGGGATACAGTTATAATCCACCACCCTCTCTTCCTCCACTCCCTCAAACCTTTGTGTGGTGATGGCATAAATATCTAGCAGTCCTTAAGAACTAGAGTGTAATTCTATTCGAAGGCCAGGATCATTAAAGGGCATCCATGTACTAGGTAGGTGTGGACTATGTTGATAATTTGTGTGGACTGGCATCTATCCTGCTTCTAACAAAGCATCTCTGTATTTGAGGTGTATTTCTTTCTTACCCCTTCAGGTGACTCAGATGTTCTCTCTCTTATAGTCCTATTACTCAGATGTATGATGCTGTTTACTTTTGCTGAATTTCTTTTCCCCTTTAAATGTATGGCTTTTGGAATATCTGATTTTATTTTTTCTGATTTCTTCCCCTACCTGTTATGTAGGAGTCTTCAGCAACTTTTAGATTACCCTGGGGAAGATGTAGAAGAGGCATTCTGCTTGAATTTTACAGTAAGACACATTTAACATATCAGCTCTGTGATTGTTATGGTACAGTTGAAGCCCACCTACTTATTCGTGTGTATGATAGTTTATTCCAAACTATGCCTGTAGCACATACCCCATGTTAATGTTAAAATGTTAAAATTCTTTGTTGTCAACTCTCTTATTCTTTTGTATGCAATCATGAAAACTGAGCTAGTAAGTAGATTAAGCAGAGTTGTTTTCAAAATGGCCTTGTTGTCACTGTGGCATGTGACTTAAAAGCCAGTGGCCAACTTCTCACGCTAGACAGTGAGAAGTAGATTCCTAAATCCTCTTGAAAATATGGAAGTTAGGTTTTGACATCACTAGGCCAATTCTTGAAATGCTAACACAATTTAGAATTTTCCTTGCTGTCATAGTATTGATACTTTTTAACTTAAAAATTTCTAGTGAGTGTACTCAGTCAGGCTTTCTTGGAAACAAAATACGGGAGGCTATCGCCGGGAGATATGCTAAGATAGTCAACTTTCCTGTGCTACTATGGCAATAAAAGATTTTTTTTCTAGCTAGTAACTTCGGTGCAATAGTTTCTATTACACAGTGAAGATTTCCCAAAATTAAGAGTTCGATTTTGATGTACGTTGGAGTATCAGGTATGTCCCTCAACATGTGCAAACATTTAGAACCCCATCAAGAGATACGGCATCGTTATTCTCCAAGCTATATTTTCCTCTGACTCAGGCAGGATAAAGACTTCCATGTTTCAGTGTCTTTGCTTCAAAGTCCTGATGCTCTAACAGCTTGTGAGCGATGGGTTTATCTTGAGCTTGATCTGGGTTCTTGACTCTTTTGTACTGGCCCTGCCTGGGCTAAAAAACAAGGTACCAGGAAACTGCTACACACTGTGAAGAAAATCCTTGCGGAGCTGCCAGTGTGTTGTCCCATTTCCTTGTTTCATAAATGAGAGCACATAAAGTCTCTTGGATTAAACTTACCTCTGGAGTGAGTCAGACCTGGGTCTGACCGTGTCTCATGCAGGTCAGAGCTGCAGTTCAGGATGAGTTAGTAAAGCCATAATGATGATAATGCAGGCTGTGTAAAAAAAACCAAACAAACCCACAACAAAAAAAACCACAAAACCACACCTTTGAGGTAACACGTGAGATTTTTCCCCAAATTCTCTTTTCACACAAAGAGGAATTCTTACTCTCTTTCTTGCAGTATATACTGTGTAATGTGTAAAGACATACAGATATATGTGCTAAAACTCTGAAATTAATAAATAACTGATATCCCAAACCTTGAAATTAATAACTCATCTTGCATGTCAAAATGCCTCTTTTGTGTATGGCAACTTGAAAATTGACCCTTTTGCACTTTTTCCACGAGACCAATTTTGTATGTACAGAATATGTGTCTGTACTGGTGCTGTCCTACGCCAGGCAAAGCAGGAAGCCGTCTGTGGTCATGCCATCTTGCAGTGAGAGCAGATGAATGAACCTGCTGAGCTTCTGTTATTAAAAAAGGAGTGCTTTTTATTGCTAGCGCATGTGGGCTTAGTTAAATACAGTTTCTTAGTTGTCAGTCTCAGGTTTTTCACAGGAAATTTATGTAAAAGAATAGCTTGTTTTCCTTTCTGAGTTTGCTTTTGGACTTAATAGCAGTCCTACAGCAAATGTAAATGATGGAAGGTGGTGAAGCACACAGGGCGTTTGGAGCAGAGAAAAAAATGTTCTGCATATACGCTTCTCTCTGGCCCACCCTTCACATGTCAGTCATCAACTGTGAAAGAGAACTCTGTGTTTTTCTGCAGGCATATGGCCTGAAAAGTACTTCTGGTAAAATTAGTTTTCTGATTTTGTATAGATCTGCAGGGAAAGCTGTGGCGTGACAGAGCAGAAGAATCTGATTGAAGATGGAGATAAAATTCTGGTGCAGAAGGACAATAGGTGAGTGGGGCATATGTGGGGATGGAGTCATACGTGTGGTGAAGTCAGGTGCAATGGCACAGAAAACTTGGCTGAGGTGAAATGTGGGAGAGAATTAGAAGTCACTGCGCACAAATTGTGAGCCCAGTTGTTGAAAAGTTACTGGGTGCCACTGGCGCTTAAAGCATTGTTTGGAAAATGTTCCATGCCCTTATGGATGGACGTCTTCCCTATAAAGGCCTTCATATAGAGCCTTGGCAGTTTTCTCATGGTAAATAGAGATTGTAATGTGATTTTAGCCCTTGAAGGTTCATCTTTCTGATGGTTTAGAGAGGGAACTGTATGTGACCAACAAAACCAAGCTTGGCAAACTTTTTTATACTGCTAACTCTGGAGCCAAAAACACTTTCCCTTGAGTATGCCTGATAGAGGACCACCATCCCTGATTAAGAGCCATAAGGCCCTACTGTACATAGATTCCTTTCTGTTTGACTGACCACCTGAGAGTTATTACTAGCACAGCTACCATTCCCGCCCCCCTCTTTTTTTTTCCAGCTGCTGAACTATTTTCTTCTCATAATCCTGTAATTGGATTTCTACAAATGCCTTTATTACTTGAAGCAGCATTCACATTCTTTCTCTGCTGGCAAAACAGTGTGATCCAGTGACTAGTCAGCAGCATGGTTAGGGGCTTGTGCTGGGATTGCTGAAGACCTCGCTGGCAAGCCTGGAGATGAAGTCATTTGCTATTAATCTGATTATTTACAAGGGTTCTGATTGTGTCTAAAGCCATTGCTGTAACAAAAGCCTCATCTGTATTACCTCCTTACTTCACTACTGCCCAAAAGAGTGCAATTTTACAGCTAAATAGCTGCCTCCATGCAGAGCCCACGTGGAGATGGAGCAGTGTAAGTCTGTCTCCCTGCAAAGAGAAGATGGGTTTCAGGTAAATAGAGGAGAGTTTAATCTAAACTTGTGACAGTGAAGTGAAGATGAAAATGCCAGTGACAGTCCCCTTTAGGATTTTAGGCCAGGCATGTACATTCAAAAGGAAAATGGCCGTTTTTCTACTGTGTGCCACACTGGCCTAGGGGGAGGAATAAAGATTTTAGCGAAACGAATGTTTGGGAAGAGCACCCACATTAGCTCCTGCAACTGTTTAGGCAACAAGAGAAGAAGATCCTTAAGGAGAGAGGCTAGTGTGTAGCTCCACCAGCTTAACACATTCCAAAATGCAATTGCTTTGTCTTGACCAGAGTTTTGAACTCAAGTTAACCTCTAAATCCAAGTCTAGACATGGCTGTCAATCCATCCACCTTACACTGCTTAATGACTTCCTCCACCCCTACATTTAGAGGCCAGGGACCAATTTGCTGCCCTTCTGGCCTGAATAGTTTGCTGTGTGCATGTCTTTGGGCACTGCCTTTCCTGCTTGAGGAAAGCTCACTGGGAACTGAAGAATGCACAGGATTGCTTTGGCTGAAAAATGCCAAATAGGAAATGCCTGCCTTTTCCTTTTCTCCCTTGGAGTTTATATTGGGTGTCACAACATAAAATGTTCTTGATAAAGGGTTCATGACCGTAACAGCCAGAGAGGTATTAAGCAACAGTTAAGTGCTTAATCAGCTTGGATTTCTCTAATGCTCAGGTGACTGTCAGGAAAATGACAATAAAACAAATGTGCTGGAAAATAACTCCCCCTTCACTATGTGATTTCTTATTCCAGATTTTCATATTTGTCAGTCTGCTTCCTTATTTTTCTTTTTTACTTTCTCACCCATCCCTTGCTGCTTGTACATAGCATATGCATTGAGAATTCCTCCACGAAAAGATCAAAATATTTCTTTCAATTGTGACCTCCTTACCTAGAGATTGAGATACTGAATTCTGTGGTGTTCCCTTATCTGATTATCCTCTGAGTGCAAGTGCTGAGCTGCTCTCGAATGTCAGGCAAAAATGATGCCTCCACCCACAGAGAATAGTTTCGTGTCCCAGTTTGCTGTGTTGGCTGGTGCATTGTCGTCAGATGTGGAAAAAAAGAAAAAGGGGAAATATTTTAAGTCACTGCATGAATAAAGTTCTAGTGTTGCACTTGGATCACGGTGCTTTGCAAATAGGAAAGAGAGTAGAATAAAGATGCTTAACCTCCTAACAAAATCCAGAGACAGGGTTTGGCCAGGGTCAGCCACAACTTTCTTGCCGATGACTACAGGCTGGTGTTTTTATGCTGTTCTTGGGAACCCTTGAAGCAAAACAGGGTTGTCATTCTGAGAGGAGTCATTCTCTTTGCCACGTACTCCAAACGTGCACAAGTCCTGTGTTAATTTAAACAGAGTGTGAAGGCTGAAGAGGAGGTTTCCTAAGCCTCTTTTCTTGCCCGGTAGTAAGGAGTGTTTCTTGATTTCGTTCAGTTGCTTTCTTTTTAGGGCCAGGAGGGGGGGAATTTGCCATGCAGTTTCAGATCAAGGCTTTTCAGAGCAGGATTTCCTCTGTCTGCCTCTAGGCTACAGCTTTGGCTTTGAAAGTGCTGAACCACTGGCAAGACTTGTCGGGCTCTGAGTCAGCAGCAGCTGCCTCTGAGAATTCACATGGTGCATAACTAGGGCTCTGTGAGGCTCTTGGTTTTGGAAGTGGTAGCCTTCTGGGCACTGTCTGTTTGATTTGGTTCCCTCTCCCCAGCAGACCCACTTGCTTGCAGCACCCTGTCAGTCTGAGGTCAGTGCAGGTGGGCACAGAGCCCTGTGCTGAGTAACCCCGGACACCTTCGGACTGAGAAGAGCAGCAGGTTGTTTTCTGGACTTGCTAAACGTAGCGTTGCAGGAGTTGGGCCAGGGGATGGACATATTCCTCTGGTGACTGAATCCTGATGTTTGCTGAACACAACCTCTGTGCAGCCATGGGTTCCATGAGGAACAGGGCTCTGTTTCCGACACCCAGCACTTGGTGTCACCCTGGCTCCCTCCTGGCCCCACGGGCAGCTGGATGCAAGGCCACTTGGGTTTATTGATAGTATAGATCCTGGGCTGATGGGGGACCTCCCATGTTGCCACTGCCGGGAAACAAGCAGACACATGGTGGTACTTGTTGCCTAATACTTTGTCTGTGTTGCAGTGACTCAGCTTAGTGAGAGGAGGGCAGTGGTTTGAACCTGTTGGAGACTTATGTTTGCAAGACACATTACAGGCAGGAACAGGAAAACCTAGCAGTGCAGCTGCTCGGGCATATGATTAAAAGTGTTTTCCTTTGCCTGCTCTCTCTCAATGCACTAGGGAAGAATTTGTTGAAGCCTACGTAAATTACATCTTCAACCTCTCCATCCATGAGTGGTATACGGCCTTTTCGACTGGCTTCCTGAAAGTGTGTGGTGGGAAAGTCCTGGAACTCTTCCAGCCCACAGAGCTCAGGGCCATGATAGTTGGAAACAGTAACTACAACTGGGAGGAACTGGAGGAGGTAAAGCTTCTCTCTTGTCGTGTTTTTCTTCTTTTTCACAAGTACCAGGATTGCACAATTGTATGAGGTGGGCACTAGCCTGGGATGTGAGATGTGATGAGCCACGGATGTCTTTTTTTTTTTTATGTTCCTTGTGCACCTTGCCGTCATTCACACAAAGAGTTTCTTACTGGGCTGTCCTGCTACTGATAAAGCTCAGGGAGGAAATTCAGGATGGGAAAGGAGAGGGGAGAAAGACTTCCATCTCCTGTTTTTAGGGGTGAAACCTAAGACTGAAAGGAAGAGACAAAGTCAGGGTCTTCACTGACAGTAGAACTCATTCCACTGCACAAGGGCAAAAAGTACATGGCCAAGAGCTCAAAGGGGAGTCTGGACATAAAGCAGGAGTTGCATCCTTTCAAAATGCATAGACCAGCAAGTTACTTGCTCTATGTCAGCCTCAGCAGTAAAAGTGGCTTTGCAATGCAGAACACGTGATCTTGTTCAGGAGTCCAGGCTGTGAACAGGTACTCCAGGATTCCTCGTGACACATGTAATTAGCTGAATAGCTGGAAGCCTAATGCCTGCCTTCCACACATTGCTAGGAGAACCCTTTGCTGGGTCTTTGAGCCATGCTATTGCCCATGACGCATCCTGTGCTCCATTTCATAACTGTCAGACATTGATCTGATGTCAGATACCAGAAGAGATCAGGTCTGGTTTCTATTTAGTCATTGCTTTCTAGTGCCAGATGAGATGATGTGCCTTTTTGGTTTTTAATAGAGCGCTGTCTATAAAGGAGACTACACTGCGACGCACCCAACCGTGAGAATGTTTTGGGAAACCTTCCATGCATTTCCCTTGGAAAAGAAGAAGAAATTTCTCTGTAAGTATCTTGCAGTGGTGCAGAGCGTTCCCTGAAATTGAAGACTCGGGTGGGAGCATCTGCAGAACTCCAGGGTTATGGCACATTGCATTAAGTGCTAGAAGATGATCCAGCATGAACGACTGTCCGCTGAGTTATCTACTAGTCAGATAATCTGTCTTCTCCCCTCTCTTGGTTTCTTTGTGTTCATTTTTACCTTCAAAACCACTGGGTGATATCTGCAGTGCAAGATCCAATGCAATCTCTCACAAGGGAGCGCAGTGTCTGTCCGTTCACATGGCCAGGACGAGAATTCATAGCAGTCCCCTGTGTCCATATTTAACCTGCTTCGTCCTTCTGCAAGCTGAGCTTTCAGGCATTGCAGCACTCATTTTTAAGGGCAACAGGGCAATTGTAGGGTGACAGCTGAGTGGAGAAGCTATTGTAAAATGTGGCAGGAAAACAAGAGTACATATTGGTGTGACTGGGTAGCAGATACCTCCCCTCCTGATGGTCCTCTCCTTGTGCTGGTATGGTGGGTGGTGTGCTGAATCAATCCTGCGGAAGTGGCTTTGGGAAGTGCATGTCCGTGTGTGTTGCATCAAGTGTCCCAGCCACCTACAGATCTGAGCTGCTGTGCGGGAATCACTTTATTTGGGGACAAAAATGGAGATGAGGAGAAATACATGGTTTTAAGGGCAGGTGATTCTGGGTTCGTTGCCACAGCCAGCAACTTTTTCCTCCCTTGGGAGTCCTGATGGATTCTGAGTTGACTACGAGCCAACAGTGTGCCCCTGCTGCAAAGAAGGTGAATGGTATCATGGGCTCCATTATGAGGGGTGTTGCCAGCACATTGAGGTGGGTGATTTTTCACCTCTTCCTGGAGTGCTGTGACCAGTTCTGGCCCAGTATAAAAGTGAGACATGGACATACTGGAGAGAGACCAGCTTCTAAGATGCCTGGGGAACTGGAGCATCTCTCCTATGAGGAAAGGCTGCATGAGTTGGCACTGTTCAGCCTGGAGAAGGGAAAGCTCACAGGGGACTTTATCAGTGTATGTAAACACTTGAAGGGAGGGTGCAAAGAGGACGGAACCAGGCTCTTTCTGGTGGTGCCCAGTGAAAGGACCAGAGGCAATGGGTATAAACTGCAACTCAGCGAGTTCCTTCTGAACGTCAGGAAGCGCTTTTTCCCTGTGAGGGTGACTGAGCACTGGCACAATTGCTCAAGGAGATTGTGGAGTCTCCACCCTTGGAGGTACTTGAAAGCTGGACACACTCCTAGGCAGGGTAGTTGGCCCAGGGGACCTCCAGAAGTCCCTTCGACCCCAGCCACTCTGTGGTTCTGTAAAGGCCAATGTTTTTCTGTGAGGTTTTTCTTCACCCCAGAGAAACAAGCAGTCAGCTAGTTGTCCTGCATGTTTGAGTTGGAAAAATGGCTTGACCAAAACTTGCATGCCTAAGTTAGCAGCTGTGTAGAGAAGGTCCTGGGAGTCCTGGTTCATAGCAGAAGCTTTTGTGGGTAGGGGGAGCCGTGGGCTGCTTCATTTACTTATCTGTGCACCCAGCAAGATGCCAGCCGTCCCTGCATGGGATGTAGTCGGAATTTTGGCCCCTCCAGGGTCCTGCCGTGCGGGTGGGGATGCAGTTTGCCTTCAGATGCAGCCCTTGGTGCGAGGTCGCCTGCCCTGACTGTCCAACCTTCTGCTTCTCCCAGTGTTTCTGACGGGCAGCGACCGCATTCCTATCTATGGCATGTCCAGCTTGCGCATCATCATCCAGTCCACGGCCAGCGGGGAGCAGTACCTGCCCGTGGCACATACCTGCTACAACCTCCTGGACCTGCCCAAGTACAGCAGCAAGGAGATCCTCAGCGCCCGCCTGGTGCAAGCCATCGATCACTACGAGGGCTTTAGCTTGGCTTGACCAGTGCGGGAGAGGCACAGACACTTGAAAACAGAGAAAGAAAACGATGGGCTTGGCTTTATTTTTGTAAGAGAATGGATCAAAACATTTTTTTTTGAAAAATATAATTAGTAATAATAATGCTAGATTGAGATGATGCAGTCTCAGCCTGATGCTGCCAGCATTTTGTGGGGGGCTTCAGCAGGGAGAGGCCATTGCTTTGAATTTTCTCATCTACTGAACAAAATGAGTTCAGTGGGCATTTTTGTTGTTTGCCCTCCAACTTGACATCACTGCCCTCCTGGCAATGCCTTTAGTTTGCTTTTACTGCCCCTACACACGCGCGCACACACACACACACACACACACACGTACCTCTCCTTTTAATCCAGTTTAAATATTTTGATGTTCCTTGCATTTAGACTATGGTGAAAATTGAGGATGCAATAGTGATCTCCTTTTTGAAAAGCTGTGATTTCCCTCCACCCTTTTTTTCTCCTTTTTTAAGTGCAAGCTGGTTCTTGCTTGCTTCGAATGGAAATACCCGCTCTGCCCTTTGGTCCTTGGTAGATGGTACTAGGCTGGCTCTGTCTTTTTGCACCAGGATATCTCATGGAGAATATGGTGGTTTAGGGGGTTGGCTTGTTTTTCCTTGCCTGTCTAGAATTTTTGTTTCCAAGCAATGTCTTCTGAAAGAAGCTTCAGACTCCTCTGGAGCGGAGTTTGTGTTCAGGCTTGTGGAAGGACAAACCTTACCTATAATAACGGGTTTCTGAAATTGCATCTCTCATGTTGTGTTTCTATCGTGGCGAGTCTACAGGTTAGACAGGTGGGCTTTGTGAGCCCTGTTTTTCCTTCCAAACAGACCTGTTATTCCAGTACAAGGTGAGGTGACCACTTTTACCACTGCCACCTTTCTCCAGAGGAGTCACGCCTGTGTGAATGTGCACACGTGTGTGTGTGAGCACACGGAGCTGTGTGAGTGTGTGTGTGAGCTCTCCGGTCTCATCAGGTCAGAGAAGAGAAATAAGCATGAGATCCACGTTTGAGTGATAACCCTCTGTTTGGAGATTAGTTTTATTTTTGCAGTTAGGGTTACCATTCTGTTTAAGAGGAGCCCTTTCCCTTGACAGCTGTTTTTCTGGAGGGCCCTAAAGGACAATCTATATGAATTAGACTGGAAATGTACATTAGGACTTGAGTAGGCAAAATCACTACCTTAATCTATCCTGTAAGATTGGAGAGCCTTTATCCTCTTTTTCCCCAGTGTCCTCCCCACCCATTAAATTAAGTTGAATGATCTCCGCCATTTTTCAAGTCTTGATGTAAATCTAATTTTAAGCCTAGGATGGTTTTGACATTGACTTGTTATTAGGATATAGTATTTATGCACTAATATACAGTATTGAACTTTGCACCTCGTAACGAAAAGTTTTAGGCTTCTGGGTTTTTTTAACCAGAAAAACGCTGAGAGCGTGTCTCTATGCTGAGAGCCCTCCAGCCTCTTTCTAATGCAGCCCTGAAGACAAATATACAGTTATATCAAATGTTTATTTTCGATGTGTGTGTACATAGTACAGTATTATGCAATAAATTTGATGTTTAATTCCAACCGAGTGGCTGCCTTCTGTCAGGAAGCAAAGGAGAGGCTGCTCCAGGCACCGGCTCTGCCTCTCCTGCTGCTCTCACCGTACCTCTGAGCATCTGGAAGAAGGGTGCTGCTTACCTCTGCCTTGGCCTTGCGGTGGGTGAGTGCCCCGTCCTGTCCCCTTGTCGCTCGCTTCGATCAAATGCTGCCCTTCCCCTTCCTCACCTGGGTTTGACCCAGTGTGCTGGGTGCTAAATGGGAGCAAGGCAGGACGCAACCCTGCCCCAAGGGACTTGCCATCTCCACAGACAGAGCAGGAGGAGTTTTATCTGCCTGTCCTGGCTCAGCTGAAGTCGGGCAAGTCGCCTGAGTCTATCTATCCCTTTCCCTTCATCCCACATCCCTGGTGCTTCTCTTCTGTTCCTCCCACCTCTCAGGGAGCAGGGCCTCCAGCGGTGCCTTTCTTCACAGCACTGAAGGCCACCAAGGCTTCTCCAGCCCCTGGCCTCTCCTGCCTGGCCCCGCAGGTGTAGACAGGACCCCCAGGTCAAGGTCCCCATGTCCCCTGTGCTCTGAGCACCCTGGGTGCTGGAGGCAGTGAGGTTGTGGCAGCCCCATGGTTCCCTGTGCCCCTCCTCTGTATCAGACTAGCCTCAGAGCTGTTTCTTCATTAATTAATGGCAAGTAATTAACAAGAGGCCTGTGCATGCAGGAGCTGTGGCAGTGATACCAGAGGAACTGCACCACTAGGCACTGGCAGAGGAGTGAGTGCGTGTGTGTCTGTGTTAATTGTGTCTGTCTGTCTGTAGGCAGAGTGCACTTTGGTGGCTGAGATGTTCCTGCGGGTGTGAGTGCCCGTAACCCTGTTTGCTCAGGGAACCCCCACCACCTCACCCCAACATGGGACTGGGGAGGGGGTGCTCAGCACCTGCTGGTCACCTGCTGTGAGCTGCAGCCTGGGGACTCAGCCAGCAATGAGGTGGCCTCGTGGTGCTCACCTGGCGCCCCGGCACTGTGCGACATCATTAGTGTGGGCAAATACAGTTAATTTACTGGCTTAATACAGGATTTCCATCATGTGGGCTTGTGGCTTCAACTTTTCTGAGCTTATGAAGGAAGGGCACGGCACTTTTTCCTTTAGCTGTGTGGGTAAACCCACAGCAGCTACATAGGATTAATAATAACGTACCATGTGCATATATATGAGTGTGTATATATATCTAAAAATAAACATATATGTTTGCAACAAGATTTGTAATTAATGTTACTCATGGTACTGCATCTGTTAAAATATACCTACAAATAAATCTTACCAACCCAAAAGTATGTGTTCAGGGTATTTGTGTTGTATCAGCAAGACTGGCATGCTGACGTGAAGCGGAAAGACTTGACTCAAAACCCAAGTGAGCATTTGGTGGCAAATACCTACTCTCTCTGTGAACACAATATAAGGTATATACTGTACTGTGTGGTCTGTATTGTATAACTGTGTAAGGCCTATATATAGTTGTATAGTGGTGTATATGGAATATATATTTTGTATATAGATTGTATTGTGCATACAGTGTATTACATGTGTTGTAGATACAACATGCGTATATATTATGCACAATAGACAGGTAAGTGTGTATACTTTTAAAAAGTAATATATACATGGAGAGTATATATACTTATTTATACAGCATGGACACATACAGATATCTCTTTTCCACTAGCAGTTGTCAGCTGTGCTCAGCTGAGGAGGTGGTGGTGGCCCTGAGGTGCTGAGGACTGCGTGAGCGTGCTCTGGTGTGGCCTGTGCACAGCTGTACCCCAGTGCACACGTGTCTGCACACGCAGCTCAGGCCCTGCCTGGCCACCTCGTCTTGGCCAAGGTGAGAGTTAACCCAAGGCAGGGGGAGTGAAACGTCAGCCTCCCTCCTGCTCTCTGTTTTGGCAAGAAGACCAGGAGCAGGGGAGCCAGCTCAGGGTGCTGGGACAAGGGCAGGGTGACTGCTGAGCCACCCTTAGCAGCATCAGATGTAACAAAGCTGTCGCCAAACACCTGCAGTCAAAATAGTTTTATTTTCTTGTTTCATACAAAATACAAAAAGTACACATCATGTTTGTTGATCCATTTACGTTAAAAAAGACACCATAGATTCAATTTAAACTTGCTGACATAAATCATGTAAACGTAGACCCAAGCCTGGAATTGCGAAGGCTTCATTAGCTGTGGGGCTACACTGGCTGCATGACAGTTACCTTGTTGCTTGATCATTCATTTTTTTCAGTCAAGCACAACCCTCCCGCCATGGTACTGGCACCTGCACTCCAACCAACTCAAATATTTGATATACACCGAGTTATTTGCACGAATATATCTTGTTTGAGGTATATACAGAGCCACAGACTAGGAGATGGTTCACTGCTGCATGCAGGTGTGCAAAGGGAGGCACAAGGCTCACTCTGAATGTACAAGGTCCAGCAAGTGTACAAGGCCTTGTGCTGCAAGTACAGGCTGGTGAGACTCCACGTCTCTCTCAACAGTTGGAGATATCAATCCCCTCCCATCTCCACAGGTAAGAGCTTTTTACAAGTTTTCCATGAATCTTTAACCTGGGGCAGCAAGACCTACAGGGCGGAGGTGGGCTGGTCATGGCTGGACTCTCCAGAGCCAGTTTAGCTCTCACATCCCAAGCAAAGAGCCTTAGTGCATGCTGCGATGGTCAATGGCAACAGCATCTCAGTAACCCCTGAAGGAAATCAGGAGCCCAGGAAAGCCTGCTTAGCTGTGAGCCTCGCTCATTCTCATTTTGCATCTCTGCATGTTGCCTCCCTCTGATGTAGCTGCTGCAAGCTAGGAATGTTACCAAAATTAATTAAGCTAGTCTGATGCACCAGGCATGCTCTGCCCCACTTACTCCCCTTCTACTGACTGTGCGTTACTTTGTACTTTCTCAGACAGTGAAATCAGTGAAAAATTAATTTTTGACTCAGTCTGTGACAACTTCAGTCCTCCCTTTTTTTTTTTTTTTTTTGAAAAAAGTGGCAAGGAAGAGGCATTCATCACAGCCACCTGAGGCTGGGCTAACTTCATTATTCCTTTCTTTAAAAAAAAAAAAGCCCACACTGTAACTGCTGAAATGCAGTTCAACACTTGCAAAACCAACAGCAACACTTGTTTCAGTAGGGCCAGGATTTCACCCACTGCGCTTTTAGAGAGAAGCAGCTCCTTAGCTTTTCCCAGTAGCTGTACTTTCAAGTTACCACTTTGCAGCTGGAAAACAGCTGTTTTATGCACTGTTTAAATGTGTGCAAGGACAATCCCCTGCAGAAACAGCTCTGCCCTGCCCCTGGACCCCCACGGGCCCCGTTTACCAGAATGTCACCACACATTTAGCATTAATACAGCTCACCTCTTCCTACGCAGGGACCGCAGAGGCAGCAAATG